AAAAATCAAGTAATAACAAAATTATTAGCAAATGGAATTGATTGTACATGGAATGATAATAATGAATTTAATATAAAAAATTCTCATGCAATATGTTTTAATGGTCAATCAATTGAAGGTATAAAACCTATACAAACAATGTTAATGGTTAAAACATCATATGATGCACAAATAAAAGTAAATTGTAATTGTCGTCCATGGTTATTAACACGTGCTGCATGTGTAGGTTCACAACGATATGGTGGTACATGGACAGGTGATAATCGTTGTTCATGGCATACATTAAAATATAATATTCCAATGGGTTTAAATTTATCTTTAAGTGGTTTTCCATTAATTGGTCATGATATAGGCGGATTTGCTGGTGAAAAACCTTCACTTGAATTATTTGTTCGTTGGATACAAAATGGAATATTTCATCCAAGATTTTGTGTACATTCTTGGCGTCCAAATCAAGATGAAAATATTGATGATAATAATGAAAATGCTTTATGGATGTATGAAGATGCTTTACCTTTAATACATGATGCATTACGTTTTCGTAAACGTTTACAAACATATTTATATTCACTTTCACATGAAGCAAATATAACTGGTCATCCACTCATTCGTCCAACTGTTTATCATTTTCAATCAGATATTAAATGTCGTAATCAATCATTTGAATTTCTTCTTGGTCCATGGTTACTTGTTGCTTCTGTTTATGAAGAAAATGCAAGTACTCGAACTCTTTATTTACCATCAGGCACCAAATGGTACAATTTCTGGACAGATGAAATATATGATGGTGGACAAATGGTTACTGTAACAGCAACATTAGATATATTTCCATTATTTGTACGCGAAGGAGCATTATTACCATTCCATATGGATGAACATCTTGAAATACGTGTCTATCCATTTGAAGAAAATGGTACAAGTGAATTCAATATATATGATGATGATGGTGAAACAATAGATTGTTATAATGAGTTAGAAGGTAAATTCGATTTACAAACGATTCGTCTTACATGTAATAAAAAACAAATACATATTGAAACATTTATTATTGAAGGAAAAGACAATAAATTTACATGGCGTTTTCCAACAAATGAAAAGCGTGTGTATCAAATCAATGAAGGATAAGTTTGTGATACTAAATAATTGATTGTAATTTCAAAAATTCTTTTGTTTTTATATGTAATACAATAGATATCAAGATTTATATACAATTTTAAATTGTTGTTAGAATGAAATTTTCCCATTTTCTAATATTCTAATTATTAGTATTGATGTCTAATAGTATGAGTTTACTCAAAAGTTACTTTGCTAAACAAATAATCAATTAATTTTCATTGTTTATATTTATAAGATAAACACCGAAAACTGTTAGTCAAGGATAAAAATCTATTATTGTGTTATTATTTCCTTAGGTTAATATTCTCTAGTCTTAAAATTATATCATGATGTTTCTTCTTGTATCATTGCTTTAATTATGAATTAAAGAATATGCCTATTAATCTATGCATTCTTGTATGAATCTGATTGTATTAGAAATTAATTGGAATAGATAATATTCTTTTTATCTATTTTTATCACGGTTAAATTATACATTAATAAATAGCAATGAAATTAATTCTTTTTGCAAATCAAAAAAGATATAATTTTGTACTCTTGTGAGTTCTTCTCGAGAGATTAGCATAAAAGAATATATGCTATGCATATTTTAGTTAATTAAACATCGATAATTAAAGCAATTTTTTCATCTATGAACATCAATATATGTTTTAGCAAATGTAATTAATCATTCGTTGACATTTAAAAATCAAACATTCCAGATAAAGAACATTTATATTTTCTTCATAATGTTGAAATAAATAGACCTTCTTATGAAACATGCTATGCATCGTATGGGGTAATCAATGAATAGTAATTGAATAATTAATTGGATTTTTCTAACTCATGAAGGATACAGACGGCTCTTTAATCAAAAAATAAAGCTCATAGCAAGTACATAATGCAAATGAAAGTAAAATAATAGAATATATCTCATTGGATAAAATGGTTAGGATTGCATGATAGTTTTATTCATTTAGAAATCTTTCATGAGGAATAATAATTTTTTATATTTACGCTGTTATATTTAAAAAAATGGTTTAAATTATATCATCAAGAACACTCAATTTTCAAAACTTAGGTCTTTGATCATTATGCAAGGTTCTTGTTTCAATTCGATAATAAAATGGTACATAGGTTTATTAAATTATCGTTTGTCTGATAAACATTTTTTCGATTTCTATTTAATAGTCATATAAACTCTTTTAATGACATCGATAAAAAAAAAAGTGTAATCTCTCTTCTGACTTATAACTATAAAATTACTACCTTGAAAGTATGATTATCTTTCAGAAACAAATATTTTTTAAATTTGATCTAACAGAATAAATATTGATGAATTAAAGAATATTTTCTTACATTTTTATTTGATCAAATAATAAAAAAAACTGCTTAATTTATAATTAATAAGCATATATACTGATTAAATTTAATGAAATCAATTTATTTATTTTTTCAAGCAGAACAAACAAGTGCGTGTATACAAAAAAAAAAAGATGAAGAAAGAAAGAGGAGTAAATAAATCATTTTATTTTTATGTGAATCTATGTGTATTTATCCTCTATAACTTGAGTTTAACACACATGTACAAAAGAAAAGAAAAAACGATGAATTGCACAAGAAAAAGACAAAAATTTTTTGTTATTATTTTGCTAGTAGTTTTCTTCACTGTTGCTTGATGTTAAATTGAATGGATAAGAGATTAGTAAAGAGAATAAGAACAAAAAAAAAAGGAAAGAAGAAGATGAATCTATTAATTAATTCGAAAGAATTTCTCCTATAATTATTATTTTATAGAATGATACATTTCTTATGTTTTCCTGATTTTATAGGTTTTGTTTGTCGTCCACTAGTTGTCGTTGGACCTGTTTCTCGTACTGGATTTTTAAACGGTCGGACAATTCGCATTAATTCACAAAAAACCTTTAAGAAAATAATAAATAATTAGATTGAAAAAAATAGAGTTTTTTATTTGATTGAATTTACTTTATCAACATTATGCTTTGTTTTAGCTGATGTTTCAATATAACGAATCGACCAACTACGTGCTTTTTGTTCAGCTTCTTCCAGTGGTACTTTACGTCTTTCAGCTAAATCGATTTTATTTCCTACTAATATTGCTGGAATATTTGTTCCACCATTTTTAACACGTAAAATTTGTTCACTAAATAAATAAGAAGATTAATTTTTGTTTTTGAAATAAAAATATGAATGACATACTAAAGTTCATTTAAATCCTGAAATGATTCTGCATCAGTTACATCAAATACAAGAAGAAAACCTTCACCACTACGTATATAAGTATCACGAATAGCTATCAAACGAAGAAAACCAAATCAAATCATATCAATCGAAATTTATGTAAACAAACCAGCATAGTTTTCTTGACCAGCTGTATCTAAAATATCAATTTGAACTTCTTCACCATCAAGCATAACTGCTTTTCGATATGAATCAGCTTTTGTTGGTTCATAATCAACAACAAACTTAAAGATTTGATAAATATTGATGAAAGAAAAATAATAGATAATGATTATCACTTACCTCATCATACATATATTGAAGTGTCAAAGCTGATTTTCCAACACCACCACTTCCAACCTAAATGAATATATAGATTATTTTTTATATAATAGAAAATTTATCATAATTTTAATTATTTCTTACCATAATTAGCCGATAGACGGCTGTTGTTTTATTTGATGCCGCCATTATTATAACAATATAAAAAAATCTAAAATATGATTTATTTCCTATACTGAATACCTTTATATATATATTATATTGGTTTATTATTCATCGTAGCTATCAGAAGATGATTAATGGCACAAAGAGAAGAGAGAAAATGTAAATGGTAGAGCAACTAACCATTAAAATAATAATCAATAAGTAAAAGGAAAAGGAATTTTAAAATATTTCATGACTTCATAAATTTTGTTTCTTTGCGCAGAATGAGACAAGAAAACAAACACGAAAAAATTATTGAACCTTATTGGATGACCTTTAATAGGTATGACGCATACAAGATGGTGCTAGTTGACAGACATGATTAATTTAAAAAAATTATATTTTATTACGAAAAACATTTATTTGTTAAATATAACAAAATTATAGAATTTTTATTAAATTTATATAAAATCACTTTATTTTAGAAGAGATTTTTCCATCGCAAAAAACTTGTAAATGGCACCAAAATAGCTGAACGGAAAAAATTTGTTTACCTTCAGACATTACTATATTTTAGTATTAGAATTTTTGAACATTTAGAATTTATGTTTTGACGAAGTAAAATAATGTCGACTTAGTTTCTGCTGTTCATTTATAAGTCAAACTAATACATACACGAGGATATTTCCGGATAGGGAACTTCAAAATACTCGATAAGGCTCTGAAATTTAACAAGACTACGTATAAGTCATCAAACGATGATCGGATTCCGATAGTCAAATCGTTCATTGAGAGTATAATTCAGAGATTAGTGTAGAAAAAGTATTCAATCCAATTGATTCTATCTTTGACTTATTTGTAGAATCATGTCTACACAAAGTATTGGTGAGAAATTTTCAGCTCCTGTTCCACAAGCATTAGGTGCTCGAGAATTTATGATCGAACGACTGATTCTCGTAAGTTTTACTTATAATATTTCATTTGAAATGTATTATTCTATAGAGAGATAATACACGTGAATTATTACGTGAAAATGGTCGAGAAGAAGAAATGGAAATCGAATTACTTGCATTGACTGAATGTGGATGTGGAATGGATGTTTACGATCCAACTAAATGTAAATGTCGAGCACGTGAAGGATATTTTCTTCTTGCACAATTTTATTATGACACAGAACAATATGATAAAGCATGGAAATGGTATTTAAAAATTCGAAATGCTGATCTACGAGGTAGATCTTTATTTTAAAATTCGTTTTTTTTGTCATTACATCAAATTTTGTATAGCACTTTATCAACTCGGTACAATGTGTTTCGAAGGAGTAGCACCAAAAGAATATACACCGGTATGATAATATTTCATAGGAAATAATTCAAAATCTTCATTTTCTTTCTTTTAGGAAGATGCCTACGATATGATGGTTGAAATCTCAACAAAAGGAAAAGATCCACATTGTTTTGTAGTTCCTTATGCAGAATTTCATATAGGTAAAGCTTATTTTCAAGGTTATGGTGTTGGACATTCTGAAGAAAAAGCTGAACGGTAATTACATACACATATATATATATATGTATATCCGTCTATATCATTAACTTTAGTTGGTGGTTATTAGCAGCAAGTGGTGATGGACATGAACCAGTTGTCGAAGCTCAAACAGCTCTTGCTTTTTTCTATTCACGTAAAAGTGCATTTGTTTATAATCTCAGTAAAGCATGGCATTGGCATAATCAAGCTGCACGACGTGGATCACTTGAAAGTCTTGGTAATATGATATTATTAATAGTACTAGTATATTTCATTATAATTAATTATTGAATTTAGGAGCCGTGGGTGCGATGAATTTATTTGGTGTTGGTACAAGTAAAAATCTTAATCAAGCTGTTGAATGTTTACGGCAAGCATCCGAACGAGGCAATATTTATGTAAGTAAATAAGTAAGATAATTATTTTTTTAGAAAACTTAATATAATTAGGCTATGGGTCTTCTTGTCTATGCTTATTATACAAGAAAATTATTTACAAAAGCAACTGATTTAGCAAAAAGGTATTTTCATAAAAGAAAATATTTAATTAAAACATATTCTTTTCTCGTGTATTTAGAGTCTCTGTTTTGGATAATATTGATGAATTATCAAGAATATCATGTTGTTTACCACAATATATTCGAAAAGGTATTGCTATATCAACATTTATTCTTGGTAGATGTCTTGAACTTGGTTACGGAATAAAAAAAGATCCGTCACAATCTGTTCTAATGTATAAAAAGGTAAGAATGAATATTATCTATGATGAATATAGTCGTCGTTTTGTTTTTTTTATTCAATAGTGTTTTCAATATGATCCTGATGCATGTCAATTATTACAAGATTATTTAACACATGAAAAGATTTGAATATGTACAGTTTCTTTTTCTTAAAACGAAGTTTATAGAAAGAAAATTAAACTACGAAATAATCCCACCTTTTTAATATATATTATTGTTTATTTTATTTTTATAAAATGCATGATTGAAAAAATAAAACAATTTTTTGAGATTAAATTTAACATATATATAATATGTTTTCTTAAAAGAATTATAATATTCATTTGAGACGGTATATATTAGAACGTATAAATGCTTGAATGGATTAATAGAAATGTTATATATCATTGATAATAAAATAGTTTATTTAATTGTTGACGTGAATTACTGATGTTTATAAGATTCATCAAAAGTATATCTCAAGAAATAAAGTCTCGTATCCTATATAAATAATTCTACATGTAACATTAGTTAATTTAATTAGTAGAATACAGTATAGACAAGAAGGAGAGATAAAATCAGTTATATTATTCAATTATGAATCAACACAAACATAATAACTCAATTTACTGAATAACCTATCGTCTCTCTCTCTCTCGTTCTTAATAAATATTTATTATTATTATGTTCTAAAAAGTTACAAAAATACGAAAAGAAATCAAACAATTCCATCAATTGATTATAAATGTAATGTACATTAATCAATGTAAATTCACTTATTTAGATTAGTTTTTTATGTATTTATTAGCCAGTATTAATTTGAACAATGGTACTGCTGAATATTATTTTCAAATTCATCCAAAATTGTGAGGGTGTATGAATACAAACTACATACTAGTCAAAAATGTATTTTATTAAAAATTGTATTCATGAAGCAAAAAAACATAGTTAAATAATAACATATTTATTGATAAAACGTTGCTTATCAGTAGAATGAAATCTGATTTGACTATTCGTATCGGATGTTAGTAATCAGATGTCAATAAACGTGATGAATATCCATCTGTTGCTATTCACACAATTGCGACTATCTTTTCAATAATATTTCTGAGTATCGTTCGATAATAAAAATAGATTTATTCAATAACAATACTATCACGCATGAATTATTTTGCCATTAATTTTAATTACAGAAAAAAGAATCTCAGTGTCTATTATCATAAAAATGACACAAAATTTGCAAATTAAATAAAAATAATAGATTTATCTTCATTAATAAGTCATACCATATTTTAATTTTTCTGAGCTCTAAAGTTAACAAGAATCTTTTCATATTGTATTCATGAGATGATTTTTCCAGAAATAAACTGAATTCGGCTATAAGCGAGCTACACATCAATATGTACTCCATCTTTTTTATATGCAACAAACTAAGGGTAATTTATTTATATCTCATGGGAAATAATGATATTTATAGATAACATTCAGAAGTGCATGTACTTAATTGGAGATTATCCATCATATGAACTAAACTTTCGAAATATCATAATATATCAATATTCTATATATATATATAGAACTCTGATGTAAGATTAGCTGTCAACACTAAATGTCTATTAACTAAGAATTATAGAATTCAATATCTTTATTTTTTCGTGAATATTCTTTATTATTATTTATTTAAAACTATTAAAAATAACTTTGTGGTCTCACCATTTCTAAGTAAGTCAATATATATGAGGCCATATCGAATAAGTGGGTGTTGGTATATTTAAAAAAGCTTGGAAATTAAAACAGCTGTCCAATTTTTTTATGATATAAAGCGTTGTATTTTCGTTAGTATCATTCACATACTCCAAAACATTCACAACATATTTACTATTTAGGATGGTTTCAAACAGTTTCGCCGTTATTTTTATGTGCTTTATCGCATATGCAGCATCCCAAACTTATCAAAAAGTAACTTTGAAGGATTGTGGTATGTAATAGATGTAGAATAATTGAATTCATTTTGATTTTCATACAATTAGGATCAAAAAATGTTAAAGTCAACCGTTTTGATATACAACCAATGCCTATTCTTCACCCTGGAAAAGTAACACTTTCAGTTGATATTTCAGCTACTGAACCAATCCGAGGTGTTATTAAAGCTGATGTTAAACTTATTCGTACAGTTAGTGGTATTAAATTACCTGTTAGCTGTTATATTGTTGAAGGTGAACAAGTTGGTTCATGGTAAGTACTTGCCTTTTGATATAATTATCTCTTTATATTTTTATCTTATAGTAATTATCCAGATTTATGCGCTTTAATGCAACGTCTTACTGGAGATTTATCACAAGATTGTCACCCAAGTCTTCTTGAAAATGGCATTGACTGTACTTGCCCAGTATATATCCCTAAAACTGCTCTTGATATTATATTTGAAACTGAAATACCAAAAGTACCCGAGTAATTATTCTATTATGATTTCGATGTTTATACCATATTTAATAAATTATTTTTTTAAGATTTGCTAATTGGTTAGCTGTTGGTGATATGGATTGTAATCTTAAAGCTAATGTTGGTAACCTCGTTGCTTGTTATGACATTGGATTTGCTATGAAACCAGCAAAATAAATTAAAAATACATTATTTTCAATTATGTTGCGTGGGGGTTATATAGGTGTGTGTGTATGTGTGTGTTTTCTATAAGTGAAGAAAAAGAATTATTTTCTGTATTGTTCAATGAAATAGTGAAAAGCAATAAAACATGTAACGTGATAATTGAGCACACACAAATATATGTTTATCTATTGTCAAAAAAGAAACACTAGGAAATTCTTTTGAGTATATCCATTTGGAAACTTTCATATGGGTGTTGATATTAATGAATAAGAAAACGAGAAAGACAAGTATATATTGATGATAATGATGATTGTTTTGTATATTCTGCAATTCTTCTTACTACTACGTCAGTCGGAAGAAAGAAACAAGTCAAAGGCAATACACAGAAAATGGTTGATGTTAACGATAATAAAACATATATCTGCATGCCGAGCCTAACACGAGACATATACAGAACGAACACAAACGTACGAATAAATAGTGGAGAGAGAAAAAGTAGTAAAAGAACAGAAGAAGAAGAAAAAAAATATACTCGATACTAATCAGAGTAGAACAGTTTATGTATTTATATGTATGCACGCCTATCACATCACGTATTTGTATATATATATCAAAAGGCTCATTCTCTAGTTTTTCTTCGATATACTCAATCAATTTTATATTTATTGCAAGCGTTATTTATGTTTGTAGATGCATATATCTTATCTTTATCTTTCAATAGTTTTTTTTCTTGTGTCATGCTCGTGGTCTTATATTGTTGAAGAGGATAGTGTTGGACCATGGCATGCAACAAAATATTTAACACGATCCAATTGGACATCATCATTAAAAGCGAATAATCAATCTACTAAACTTCATCATCCAGTATGGTTTGTTTTTCATTATCTTACTTATTGTGGATTTTGTAAACAAGCAAAACCTGGATGGGAAGCTGCTGCTCAATATGCAGCAGGTAGAAAAATCTTATACTAATAAATGATTTTACTTATTTATTTATATTCGATTGAAGGTTGGTCAAGATATATTAAAATAGGTGCATATGATTGTGCTGATGAAGAAACATCTCAAAATGATATTTGTCAAGATGAAGCATATCCACAATGGCGAATATATTGTCCATTAACAAATACAACACATATAGCATTTGATTCAGAACGACGAAATTCAGATACTAAACCAGAAGATATTTTAATGTGGTCAATAAGAAAAATAAATAAAATAGCACCTCAATGTTATGGAAAATCGTGGCCAATTCGTCATGTCATTGAGTAAAACATTTTTTATCTTTCTGAGACAATAACAATATTTACACAAAAAAAAATATTTTTCTTTCAGACCGCAAACAATCGACGATTTAAATAATATCATTCCTAAACAGATAAAAAAATTTCAACTATTTGTTTCGGATGATGTTCTACTCTATAGCCTTGTAAATATTTTATATTTTGATTTTTTCTCTTATCATAAAAATAATTTATTTCAGTATGTATTAAATAATTCTAAAACTGTTTTCAAAGAACCAATTTATCGTTTACATGCACAAAATCCAATTAAACATGGTGACGGTATTTGGAAAGGTACGAGAAATGATAATGGACAAATAGAACTTGAAAAGTATGTTAAAAATTATTTTCTATAGAATTCTATATATATTATATTTAGAACTGATTCAACAAAAGCAATGGGTACATTTGTATTACATACAAATACTGTTAGTGATAGCGATGAATCTAAACAGTAAGATTAATTTTTAGAAAAAAATCATTAATTCATATTTTATTTTCTAGTAAAAAACTTGGCTCATTGAAACCAACATTAAGTGATATTGATAGTTCACTTGTTTGGATGATTCAGAAGGATATTCGAAGGAAATTACCGGCACTATTTGAAGATGTCAAAAGTTGGCTTAATGTAGTTCATACAGTAAAAAGCATTAGTTTTCGTCAAGAGAATAATAAATCGAATATATTTTTTCTGTTAAATAGTATTATCCTGGAAGTGATACAATGAAGAGCTTTCTTCATGATTTAATTGAATTTATGAATAGTCGTCCAACATTATCATCAAAAGAATTACAAAGTTATATTAATTTAACATCGGTAATCTTATTTTATTGATTCAATAGGAATTTCATTGAAGAGAGACGGAATATAAAATTTAATTATTGATAATTTCATTAACTATAGAATCCTAAAAATACTTTTGATATTATAAAAGAAGACTAGAATGTATTTCTTTAATATTTAATAATAACTTCTCGTGCCATACATATGTAAATGATTTCTTTTTTTTTTGAAAGAAGTTTCATCATTATTTATTCTGAAAGGTACGTCCTTGTACGTTCGGTTGACCTTCCTATGTATTTTTTTAATAGTAGTACTTGAGCATAAAAAGCTTTTCCGGCATTTGTTTCTGATAAGAATAAAAGAATTGACCCGTTTCATTTTCAGAATAGCAAATCAAATTATCTTTTAATTCTTAGTAGATTTTCTGAGAATAAAAGACTATCATCTCATATATTGTCAATAAATATTTTTACATATTTTATACAAAGAAAGATGAAGTTAATAGTATTTTCTTTCGCAAAGTAAACGGATTGTACATAAAATAATAATCTATTTCATAAAAATGACGAAAAACCATGAGTTATTTTAGAAATTTGTCATCTAAATTTTTATTTTTTTATTTTAATAGTCAATAAGTTTACCTAAAATCGAATTTAATCATTGCAATGGCTCTGATCCAAGTAAACGTGGTTATACATGTTCATTATGGCTTTTATTTCATAGTATGACTGTTAAACAAGCAATACTTGCAGAAGAAAATAGATGTAAGTTAATACAAAAGTAAATTATTTTTTTAATTTTATTTTTCAATTAGTACCAGCGAATGTTCAACCACCAGATATGATCGTATCAATTCGGGAATTTATCCGTAAATTTTTTCTTTGTGAAGAATGTGTTAAACACTTTACCAATATGACAGCTAATGCAGAAAATGAAATCAATTCTTATAAAGAAAGTGTTTTATATATCTGGCGAGGTAATTTAATAAAGAATTGATTATTTAACACATTTAAAATTTGATTCAAATAATTTAGGTCATAATACAGTGAATAAACGACTTCGTGATGACGAACTTACTAATGATCCAGCATGGCCAAAAGTACCATTTCCAACTAAACAAGAATGTAATTCATGTGTTCGTCAAGTCGATGAAAATAATGATGCTGTAGAATATGATGAAAATGAAACATATAATTATCTTAAAGATTATTATAATTTACACAAAATATCCGAGAAAAAAAGTGCAGCAATTCATTATCGATATAATCAATTGGTATTATTATTATCATCTCTTATCGTATTTTTTCGTTTTTAAAAAAATGAGAACTCTTGTTTAGCAAAATTTTCTTTTTTTCGTAAAACAATTCAATCATCTTATTAATTGTTTATCTTGTCACATTTTTTTTTACTGTTTATTTATTTTGCATTCGAAATAAATAAACGATTGATTTTTATTGATTACATTTATTTCTTTTTATGACAAGGTCTTTATTAAGTAAAGTGGAGAATACGTATTGTCAATTTCTCATATAATTCATTTTATTGTAAAACGATATTCCTATCAATCTCATATTCATTTCCAGATGTCCAACGGAAATTTTATACACATCAACTACTATCTTTCTAATGTTTGTTTGATCTGTCATAGCGATATACATTATCATTGAAGTATAGTGTAAAGTACAAGGCTTTTAGTAGATTTCAGATCGTGTTCAATATATACATAAGAGTTTTCTTACTAAAAGATGTTTTCTTTAAACTAAATGTAAATAACGTACGAATAACTTTAACCTCCATCACAACGCGTTTAGTATTACGCGCCAATGCGTCTTCAATAAAAGAAAAATCAAATCAACAATCAACATAACACTATTTTACAAATAAACATTCCATGCAATTGTTATTATTTTAACCTTATTAATAATGAATAATCATAACACTCAACAACTTCTTACGTATCTTCTTCAATATGGAATATCTAATACAATGATAGCAATTATCGCAAGTAAATCTTCTATTATATCATATACATATATATATACTTTTTGTGTTTATACGGTTTTTGAATAGAACAACATATCAGTAATGAAGATTTACAGATAATGGATCGTGATGATGTTGAACATTTATTTAAAAATGAATATGGATTTACATTTCGTGATCGTAAACAGTTTTGGAATATATTGCAGAAAATTGTATGAAGTTAAATATATATATATATATACACATATACATATTTTTATTTAGCAATCGAATTCGAAGTCTAATATAAAAACTGAACAAATTGATAATTCGCCGGTAGAAAATTTTTCTGTCTATATTTATCAGTAAATCAACTTTCAGGAAATTCTTGAACATATTTATGAGTTTGCTGAAGAAGAATCATCTGAGAATAATGATTCAATACAACAGCAATCTATTATTTCTTCATCATCAAATACAAATCAACAATTAATTATTAATCATCTTTTTGAGAATAAAACATCTGATGATGATAATAATTCAAATACTTCATCATATATCTCAGAATTATCATTATCATATGATTATGTATTTACATATCCATGTATATTACCGAGTTTTTCTTCAAATATAATTCAAGCACTTAAAACAAATACAATTCATAAACAATGGGCAGCTTTTATCAATGAACTTGCACGTTGGGTTATGTCAATTAAACCATGTCTTCGTGAACAACATGAGTATCGTGCAATAGGACAAAGCCTATTCGAGAAATATCCTAATATAGGTACAGCAGGTCCTAAACCATGGTCATTTTTATGTCGAAGTCTTAGTCAACGAATTCGAACAGAAAGATGGCATAGACGAAAAATATTAACAACTAAAAAACGAAAAGAAAATGAAATGAAAAACATTGATCAAAATTATGATAATACAGGACGAGAAATTGTTCTTTGAATTAAACAATATTTTTTGATCAAAAAAATATATAGTTTATGATATATAAAAGATTTAATATGAATAATTTTGCAAAATTTACAATTGAGTTTTTCGAATGATACCGATAGTTCAAGTAGTTATTCAAAAAATAATGAATAACTCGAATTCATTTTCATCTATCGAAATAAACTAGAATAAGACAAATGAAAAACGAATCTTATACGATCAATTGAATCACATTTTAGTTAATAATGACTATCAATAGCTATGTATGATTAATGGAGAATACCATATGAATACATATTTTCCGTTCTGTTTTCATATCTCACCGTACCGAAAATACTAAAGAAGGACGTAAATCAAAGCCTCTATGTTTAGATTGAAGACAGCCTTGAGTACATATACAATATCGCACTCTAACAAATGTTTTTGTTTTACGATTGAAAAAAAATATCATCGAAAAAATCTTTAGGTACATGAATAATGGTTCAACTCCTTGAATCATAGCTACTCAATATACATAAAAAAAATATAAATCGAGTACATATGTCTCATAAACGAAAGCTTTTGAACAATATATCTCGTAATTCATCATTCTTAATACGCCCTGTAATGCGTATTTTTTATATATACATAAAATAGACTTGTTGCATAATACTTCTTTTCAATGTGTCTCTATCATCATTCTTTCAAATTGCTAAAAGTCGCTTTAAAGCTCCATAATCAAGGAAAATATATCTTCAAAAATGACTTCATTGCTAACGATCGTTAGCCTTTGTTATGGTTAATGTAATTAAGCGCTATATGAATACATAGATATCCATAAAATCATATTCAATATTGTGATAGGAAGACAAACAGTCCATTGCACTTTCTTTTCGTATAGTTTCAACCATTCTTTTCGTTGTCTAATGAATTACTACTGTCTCGTATATGCACGAGCGCCTGTCATCGTTATTTATAAAAAAAATCTACCGATTGTGGCAAGATACACAGCTTCTTACGCATCATTGCACCCAAAACGATATAGTCACCCATAGATTTTCGATCACATTTTTTGAATACATCTACCAATCATTAAATAAGAAGAAGAAACGGTAAAAGTACCAACTATACTTGACATTTGATCTTACTGTCTTTGCTGCAATGTCAACGAATAATAATCAGACTCTCTCATACCTTCTTCAACATGGTGTCTCACTTCCGATGATTAGTATTCTTCAAGGTAAATGTAAAATATTTTCCATTTTTCTTATTTTTATTAAAAACATGTGTTTGTTTTTGACTACAGGACAATATATAAATGATGACGATTTACAAACAATGGATCGCGATGATATTGAACATTTATTTAAAAATGAGTATGGTTTTACATTTGGTGATCGTAAACGATTTTGGAATGCAATAAAAAAATTTGTATATATGGAAATAAAAAATAAAATAATTTACGTTTAAAAAAATATATTTATCCTATTCTTTTAGCAATCAGTAAATAAAAAAAATGATATTATTTACGTGGAAACACAAACACATAATGAAACACCTGTATAACAATAAAATTGTTTTAAGATAAAATCTTATTCTGTTTGTTTTCTAGGATCTTTATGAAATAATTGATGATGAACCAACAGATTATCAATTAACACAACATTATAGACCGTTATCAGTATCACCATTACCATCGTCACCTAAAAGACTTTCATCTACTACAGTTTATGATCATTTTGATGATGAAATTGAAACAAGTACAGTTGAAGATAGTAGTTCAGAGAATAATGATGATAATCTAAGGAGAGCAACAACATCATTACCTGTTTATGATCAATTTGCTAAGCAACTACGAAGGAGAAAAGACGAAAATTTTATATTTGAATATCCAGTTGAGTTACCATTATTTTCTGCAAACGTTCAAAAAGCCTTAGAAGCAAATAATATTCAAGAGGAATGGTCAACATTGATAAAAGAACTTGCACAATGGATTGGAGTCAAAGCTAAAAATCCTCCTAAAAAATGTGAATATCAAGCTATTGGACAAACTCTATTTAAACTTTATCCGTGCACTGGTCGAGATGGTTTTCGACCCTGGTCATATTTATGTAAATGCCTTACAACTGATCTTCGTAAGGATAGACTTAAAAACAAAAAACTCACAACTGAACAAAACGCAAATTAGTTAAATAATAAAGTTTGATGTATTTTTCTTGTTTTTTTCTCAATTAAGATTACACGACGAACAATCTAGCGAGAATACTAAAATAAAAATGTTTCTCTAAATGTCATATGTCTACAGAATACAAGAATTCTTTTTTTTTGTTTATGGACATAAAAACAACATACTATCTTTACTATGAATATAACAGAAAAGTAATCATTGGGAAAGACTTGATCAATTAAGTAAAAGAAAAGTCCAAAACAAGTTATTTAACGTTCTACAGATCTATTGATAAGAATAGAAATATTCTCGTTCGTATAATTTGTTCTTTTTTCATCATTTAATCCTATTACATCGATAGATATTTAGTTTTATTAATGTAATATTATATGATTTAATTATATAAAAGTTAATGTATTTAGTACTGAATAGTATACTTGCATATGATAAATAGTAGTTTGAATATATATATATATATATACTATTATAATCTTTTCATGAATCATTCAAACTTGAATTATCATGCATGAAGGCCTTCTTTTACTAAAATATCTCTATTTCTATTCATATTTATTATCACTTAGTTGATCTATTTTTATTCATATTGGATAATAGATATTCCTTGGAGATTGATTTCGGTACATGATTAAAATACCTTCATATATATATATATTTTGAATACACACATATAGGTAATTCTATTGTCATAAGTTTATATCTCTTGAAGACTTATTAATTTAGGACGTTAGTATGGAAATATAAGAATTGTTTGAGTTAATATTCTACAGAAAACAGACAATGATATCTGTAGTTCCAGATCAAGATTATATCTATAATAAATATTGAGAATGTCAAAAACAATAAGAGTTTTGTAATGATGTTTCCGATTCATAAATAATTACAGTTAGCAGTTGTTAATATAAGAAGAAAAAAAAAGAATACATGATTTAATACATAGTAACACGAACAAAAACATCTATTATAGTATATATTAACTATAAGTACAAAAAACTTATTACTAAACAAAATTTGTCTTATAGAAAATAATTTTGACAGTACTTAACTATATGTCGGAAAGATAAGTAAATATTTTTATCTATTATTTACATTAAACACTAATTCAAAAAGACATAATTATTAATAAAATGACAACAAATACTTTTCATCTTAAAATAGTTTTTCATTCATTATTTATAAATTCTATAAGTCTTCAAATCACAATACAATTAAGAGACAAAATAAATCTTCTTATTATTATTATTTGTCAAGATAGTTTTCTATTCTTAGTCTCGAAAAATAAGATTTGCTTTTTCCTCTTATCTATAAATAAAAGCATTAGTTCTATTCACCAGATATTCATTTATTTAGGATAGAATTTATTTTGTTCCAAAATAAGAAATAAGATATACTATAGAAAATAATCTGATCCTGATTATAATTTCTATAAAAAAAATAATCGTAATAAATGTGTGTTATATTAATACATTTTTGTTACATAGTCTTATCATTTCAATGCTAGAAGATTATTTACAAATCCTTTTCTTAATGGAACGACGTTTATTGCGATGAGTTGTCATATTTGTTTTTTTTGCTATGAAACAAGATCATAATGGTTGATAAATGAATAATATTTTGTTAGAAGCTTAAAAGCAATATGCGTTCTTGAATTTTTTCCAGATGTGTGGTTAATGCAAAGATTTCTTACATTTTTACTGAATTATTTATCATAGAAATCTATATATAAGAGACAAGCACCTCTACACATACTTAATATTTTATATGAATATACAAAAATTTAAAAATCAAACATATTTTCTGTTATTATGTCGAATACAAAGAATATTAGTATATGACAAAAAAAATATTTGTTTTTTGTCAATTACTTGGAAATATAGATTAGAGATAACTTAATCATGTGAAAAAAGAATAGTTTCGATGTACATTACATTTACGTCACCAAAGCATTCATAGGATAAATTATTTAGATTGAGTTTCAAGTTTCAATAACACAAAATAAGAGAATAAATGAAATACTTGATAATCTATTCGAGATTGTAACATAGCATAGTACGATTTCTAATGTCTAACTATTTTCACTAATTCGTATTGATTTCTTCTTAAGAATTTGTCTATATTTATAAACAAAATTCTTTTATTTTATTTTTAGTAATCATTCACTATCAATGTATTATTATACAATTACACAAAAATTTATTGAAATCAGACACTTATTTCCGTTCTATTATTTACTAAGCAATACATCGAAAACAACAATATAATGATTTTTTACTTAGTTTCCTATAAGTGAAACATTAAATAATATATTCAAGAACACTTTCTTTAGATTTATTTATTATTTGCTTCTGCAATCGTCTCGCAGAAGAGACATTTTACGTAGTAGTACTGATGTATTAAACAATACTAGACGTCATTTATGTGTCCTCTGAGAGATTTTATATATATATATCAACGTCTGTGCGTAGCTTTTCTTATTCTTATCTTTGATGATTATTTTCTTGTGACACTACTATTGTGTTGTACTTATTGTTGTTATTGTTATTCTTAGCGTCTATCAATTCAGAGAAAAACAAATGTAAGTTGAAATTGTGTAGCCTTCATACATATTGTCTTTTTTTGGTTTCCTTAACAGGCAACATACATCTGTCAGTCGATATACTGGAATGCAAGATGGATGTCAATACAATTTATGAGTGGGTTGTGCTTGAGATTATCTGAAGGTTATATTCATTGATAAACGAGACATATTCAACTAAATCAGAAGAAGAATACAGATATATAGGACGTATTTTGATTATAGATCATACAATTAACGGAAATAACCTTGTATATGTATAAGTAAATAAAAATTTATGTTCAACTACAACACTTGATGTTATGCTATATAGCTACGAAATAATTATGATTTTCACACGTAATGTATGAAATGTCACAAGTAGTTTCAGGGTTTAATTCATAATAGAGAATTATTGTTGCGTATATACAACCTTGGAAATATGAGAAGAACGTCACATCTGTTTTAATACACGATAAAATTATCTTCTACGATAGATAGTCTATCAACTTGTCTATCTATCGTCTAGTTCACTTATTCGGTAGAATGAACATTTCAATTCTTTTTTTATAGAGTCATTTTTTTGATTCATTTTGTTGTATTACATTTATATAACAGATATAAACATTTTGATTATCGGAAGAGAAGAAATCTATTGAGCATGATGAGATTAGTTAGTTTTATTTGACCTTCGCTTGATTATGAACAAGAGAAAGAGAATAGATAGGTGCCTGGTTATAGTCATTCATACTCGTTAATAAACATCCATGATCTGATAGAAATTGTCAAATGTCTACATGAATGCGTATGTTAACGGCAATGAACCGGTCCTCTTTTCTCTATCCTTCATGATTAGGGCTATTAGTAGCTTGCGAGATATAATCGCACATACACGCAAACAGGCATACAAGAGAATAGAATGAGAGAGAGAGGGGGAGAGAGAGAGAGAGCGAGGGAGGGGGAAGAGAGAAAAAACCACTTACGCTGTGCAGGCTTTGCCTGTTATATCTTAGTTTACAACATTGAACAGTAACGCATACATCATCGAAGTCTCCTTCAGAAATACGACAAGGTAGCACCAGACAATAGGCATTTTTTAATGAAACATAGATGGAAATAAAGCAAAAAAAAAGGAAGAAAGAAAGAATGTCATTGTATGGGTCAGCCTTGATGCAAGGTTATCAGTGGCATTCGTTCGGTTTTAATATATATCACCACATCTTCTTTTTACATGGAAACTGTCAATAAACGGAATGGAATTGACGAAGAATGATGATAGTGAGGCACGCCAGACAAAATAGATTCATGTTTATGCCGAGACGAATCGTTTATCGTCTTGCTATTTCTCAATATGTAAGTACCTAAGTAAGATAAATCTATTCATTCTAATACTTAATCAGGTATGTTAAAATCGATTTTTAATATTCTACGCATAGATATATATTATTTGATTATAATCATGTCATTTTCTTTTTATTGACTATCTTTTCTTGCTCGCTTCTTAAGATTCGATGGATATAAGTAATCAAATTGTCAAAAAAAAACTTATTGACAACGGCGACACGTATTTTTATAATGTAAAGTCATAACGATATGAAAGATAGAAATTAGGTAATAGATAGATAAATCAAAACGAATGAAGCATTATATAGCATTCAGTTTGATGACACTGATTTTGTCTCCTACGCCCCAAGCGAGCTCATCATACGCATCAGCCGTCTGTATCTCTCTTCTCAATTATAATTACATCTCTCTTTTTCTCTTTTCTGTCTTAAAAACAAAATTATGAAAGACTCTTCACTTTTTTTCCTATCTCTCGTGTACTGATTGTTGATTGCATATGTAATACTTCTATACATCATCAACAAGTAAAAATTTTATTTGTTAATTCAACAATCGATTGTGACACATCATCAAATATTTCATCTGTTGTTTTGTTGTATGTGCTTATACGTTCATATATATATATATATATATGTATGCATATATGATCAATTAGGTAATACGATCGTCTCCGGCCATCTGTATCTCTATTCATTTATTTATTGTTAGTCATCTTATTATTACGATGCTTCTTCTTCTTCTTCTTTGATGTTATGTTACTCGAACCTTTTATTCGCATTATTTCATCGTATGTCTGTAAGGATTGATGTTCGCGCACATAATTATGATTAGGAAACCAAAAGGTAATTGATCAATAAGAGACATTGACTAATGTTTGGTGACGATGATAGATAATTTTCACAATAAGAAAAACATGTTCATCATTTATTCCATATTGACTATGTCATTTCATAATCATGTATGCCTTCTAGCCACATCTTGAACAATATTATGAGTACATTCTTGTTATATAAAAAAAAGACAGACTGTTTTTCCTAGAGTATGTTCACACATATGAATACGCATAAAGAATAATATGTAGTTAATATTGTTTTGTACTAATAGATTTTATTTTATCCTAGCAAAGTAAATAAATAGCAAGACTGGAAAAAAGCAAATTTTTGATGATGATGTCTTTTATTGAGCAAAAAAACAAAGAAACCCTAGATAGATAGATATACTCAATAGAATGTAAATTTTTTCATTTATCTATTATTTATAAATCTAATGAATACACTATTCTTTTTTTTATTTAAAATAATAATCGTGAAGATTTAATCAATAGCTAATTAGAAAGATGTTATAGATTTAGTCAGTAAATGTGCGTGAGTTTCTTTCAATCAATATTGTTTGTTTGCTTTTCCTAAATAGCAGTGTCTGATGTCTATATAGCTTGTTATCTAGCCTCATCATCATACTTTCTTTCTCTTAACTTCTTCTTTTATAGATACTTTTTATATATACGTCTACATATGTTTTTGTATAGTAATAATAGGAGACAGATTTCTGACATTCTTTCTCTATATTTCTCTCATTTATTATAATATCTAATTTTCTCTTATTTTTCTTTCGTTATATTAATCGAAACTAAATATTCTCATTAACTAGAAATGTCATAGTGAGAAGAAGAAAAAAACTAGAAATTTTCAATTGATTTTTTTTCTCTAGAAAGAAAAATAATAAATCTATTTATGTACGACCTTTCTATCGTCAAGATGATGAGCTATTACAATGACTTATTTATTGCATAAACTAAGTGAGTATCTCGAAGATATTAACAAAGAAAAAATATTACATCGGAAAGATCAAAAGATAACATAGACAATCCGTATGTTCTTGATTTATAAAAACCACCTGTTATGTCTACTATCCCTCTCTCTCTCTCTGTTTGTTAGTGTTATAAATAGATAGAAAATATTTATTTAAATTTTCTTCTTCTTCTTATTCTTCTTCTAGTAATTTTCTTAAACGATATAGACAAATATTTCTTTTGGAGTAGCATAAAATTAGTTGTCTAAAAAGAAACATATTCTATAGGGAAATTATATGGTTTATTGACTTTTTAAAACTTAGTATTTTTTTTAGTTGTCACATAGGAATCGTCTTAGAATTAATATATATGTATATGTATAATAAAAATTAATATAGATTTGTCAATATTACGTTTTACTTCAAGGTAATGTTCTTCGTCGTAATAGGAAAAAGTTTAATAATAATTTTCATCGTTATTATTAAATAGTATGTAGAATGATTTGTTCGGTAAAATAAAATAGATGAATAGTACTGTATTTTATGAAGGACATAACGCCTCTTACTTTTCAAATTTTCTTCGATGAATAGTGACAATGTATACATAACGCTCTTTTTATTTCTTATGTCGAGGTAATCCTTTGTCAGTGAGTGAGTTACTTCATTCAATATGAATGAAGAATATATAAAATGTACATCTATAGATTTTAAAAATAAAAGAATATGTAATTATTGAGTATATCTGACAAAAAATATGCTTATATTTGCGGAAGTGTACACTAATAGGACAGAAAAATAATGGTAACAGTTGCATACATGTCTGTAATATATTTTTAGTAGTAGTTGCTATTATTTGTTTATTAATTCAAGTTTTTTTTTCTCGCTACTCTATTTTAATTATTTACTCATCAGTAGATTGTCTTTTACATCATCAAAATTATCGAATTAAGTAAATCATTTTAGACTAAAAGAAAGACGTAGGAAGAATTTATAGATATTTTTTTCTTCAATAATATTCTATATAAAAGTATGCTATTTTAATATAGATTAAAGATTGTTGTTCTTCTTATTCTTATCTCTTAAATAAACGTTAGGTTTATTTATTCGTTCGATAGTCGTTTCTTTTTTTTTGCGTTAGTTAGAAAAAGATCGATCCGAACAGTTTACAATGACAATCAGTTCCGGAAGGAAGAACTTAATAGAAATTATTGGATGAAAAGAATAGAATAAAAGAATCTAATATATTACTATTCGAAAAAAAGAATCTTCTATATATCTTTTATATTAAACTTCAACATGTAATCAATGACACTAGCAAATTTATTTATAATTCTTTTCTTTTCTTTTCTAAAATAATATTCTAATTCATTATTATTATTATTATTCAAATCTTCGTAAAATAAATAAGATAGATTGAAAAAGTATCTAATATATATTTTTACAAAATATTCAATCATCTATCTTTAACGCCCTCATATTTCTTCGTTTTTTCTTATTTTCTTTTTTTCTCTTTGCTCTCTGTCGTTAACATCTATTAAGAAGAAACGATAAAGAATAGAAATACATTTACTAAATGCATTTGAAAAAAAAAATTATATTGTCATTCTATTGATAAAACCTATACTATATTTTATTCATGATATATTCTACTGAAAAAGTTAACACCATCCTTTGAATATATATATTTGACAGATACATTAATAAGGTGAGGATGTAATTATAATGCTTCACTAGACATTAATATTATCGAAAAAAAATGGATGAATAACGCTCACATGTTTATAGGAATAGTTTTTGCAAAAACAACAAATTAAACAGATACGCAAAGAACAGAAAAATATTTCAGGGATGAATAAAGGTGCGAAAGCTTATTGAAATTGATTAGAAAAACAAAAAAGATAAATGACTAGAGATAAGAAAGATAGGCATAAAATCATCACCATTATCATATATATATATATGTACAAAAGGTGACTTAGGAAAGAAAGGGTATTGCGCATAATATCGAGTGTTATTTATTTTGATTGCACTTTGTATTTCTCTATTGTTTTCGAATTGATACGTCCTAACTAGTTTTTTAGACCGCAAAAGACGAGAAAGAAGAAAAACAGGGTGATCGATCATTTCATATAATATGTTTTTCAGACTTCTCTTTTTATTCTGATTTTTTATTCTAATACAAATAATAGGAATTTCTGAGCTTTTTTTTCTTTTCATTGTCACATCAATAACTATAGCTTCTATTCCCTAGACGAAATGATAATTTAACTAGAGACAAATTGTTTAGTTGCTCAGATAACGACAACATTTCCAAATAGTATTCTCTTTCCTATTTGTATTCAGTGTTTTTATTTAATGTTGTGATTTCAATCAGATATTGATTACCAAAAAGGTATCTGTTTTTATATTTACACCCTAATTTTTTCTTGTTTATTTCTAGATATATCTATTAAATGAATATTAAATGAAATGAATGAATCGTTGTTGAGCGGTAATCGCTCTGTACTTCTAACATCAACTATTATTAATCGAGGTACAACAAGCAGAATACCAGTTCGTGAACAAATTTTAATTGATGCATTTAATACATATATTCAAATTGGTATTGGTAGTCTATTATTTCTCTTTGGTCTTACATTTAATTGTTTAAGTTTAATTTATTTTCGTGCATCACGTAGTTTTCGTAATACAACATTTCAACTTTATTTTTCAATTATATGTATACTTGATACAGTACGATTATTGGAATTTCTTGTATTTATTCTATTTGATAAAGGCTATCTTCAAGTAACATTACCATTATGTCGTTGGGTATTTTTTACTATTATGTTTACTGGACAGGTATTTATAAAACAAAAAGAATTTTATATCCAAGGACAAAGAATATAATAATAATAAATGTACTCATGAATAAAATAAAACACAAGATTCTTTATTTCTTTTGAAATGTTTATCAACCTTGTTTAAAGAGACATTTTGAGACAGGCTAATTGACTTGCTCTTATATATTGATAATAAAAAATGAAAGGATTTATTCAGGCATTAAAAGGTCAAAAGCAATATTATTTCTTTGTCATGTTACAAAAAACAATAAAATTTATCTTTTTTTCAATTAAAATTCTTTTATTTTTCAGGCTAGTATTTGGTTAACAGTTGCATTAGCTGTAGAAAAATGTATTATAATATGGTTTCCAATAAAAGGTCGTTTATGTTTTACAATATCAATATCAAAAATTGTTCTTGTTGTCGTTTTATTTCTTGTATTATTTGCAAATGTTATTTATTTATTACCAAATTTCTTTTTACATGCATATGCAAATGTTTCAATACATACATTTATGTGTATATGGCAAACAGGCGCTCAATCCAAAAATAAATATGATCAATGGAAAAAACATTATTTTACATTTAATACAATATTTTTTCATTCAATTATACCATCCGTATTATTACTTGTAATTAATTGGTTAATTTTATATAGTTTATCACGACAACGAATTGTTTTATCAAAAATTGGTTCAATTGATGCTCGACATGTTTTAAAACGAGAAAAACAATTTAAAGAAAAAACTATACAACTTGTACTTTCATCCTTCTTTGTGATATTTACTATATCACCAAGATATATTTTAACTATGGTTAATGCATTTGCAACTAATTTAACTAAAACACCATTAATGCCATTATATATTTATGTTAATTTAAATACTGTATTTCGTGTTCTTGAAATGAGCAATTATTCACTTAATTTAATGTTTGCTATTGTTAGGTATGAATAATATATATTTCGTAATTAATTAATTGAAAACAAATATTGTTTTTTTTTCAAATAATTTTCTATATGGTTTTTGTTTTTAGTGGTCGAACATCACGTCGTGAAATGCGTAAATTACTTTGGGAATGCTTCTTTTGGCGAATTAAACGAAAGAGAGCTAGTCGTCATGGATCAAAAATACAAACACATTCATTTCTATTCGACGATGATGATGATACAGATCATTCAGTTGCAACAACAGCCAATACACCTTATTGTGCATTGACAATTCATTCACAAAATCGTTCAAATTATTTATCTAGACAAAACAGTAATAATAATACTTATAATAATCTTCGAAAATCTTCTATTTTTACTTGTTGTGGTTTTTCAGTTAATCTATCCAATAAACAATCACTATGTTCATCGAATGGTGATCTAACATCGCGTCGTTCAACAATATGTAAATCATCAACAAATACAACGACGAATATAACGAATAATAATATTTATAATTCTCCTCGAAAAATTCGTAATATTTCACATTCACCTAGATCATTATCATCATTTGATCGTCATCTACGACGACAACAGACAGTTTGTTATACATCAAATAATGACAATAATCAATCAATAATTCGCCCACGTGCTTCAACAATTGTAAATTCTTTTAAAAATTTACCATCAGCAACTTTAACACCTGTTGTAAATCCAACTATAATATTAAGTACAGATTCGACATCTATATCGAAACAAGAAGAAGGAGAAGAATGTTTACCTATTGAAACATTACCATCTAAAACTTCCAATTTATCTTCACCTTCAATAGATATAAACAATGCAAATAAAGACAATATTGATTCTACAGTATTTGTACAAAATCATTTAGAAAAAGAACCATCACCAGCGTATATTGTTGAAACATGTTAATTATCTGTTATCTATATATTAATTGTATTTTTTACTTTTCTTTTAAATTTAAATTGTTTTTTTTTCATGTGTACACTTTCGAACAGTGGCTAAATGATGATGACTAAGATATGAACAAAATAGAATAATGAAAGAAAAATATGATATGATAATGAATATTTCTTTCTATGTAGAAGATAGTGTGACAAAACAAGGAGAATGTCTGAAGCAGCTGTCTATAAAATATGAAAAAACATTTGGTCTTAATGACATTGAGAAGTTAATATGAATGGAACATTATAGTCATTTACCAGTGTGTAAAATTATTCAAAGCGAAAAGAACAATTTAATAATAGTCAATGAATTTTATTTGAAATTATCCAAGGTCATTTGGATTTATGTATGGGGGAGTAATTAATATAAGATAGTTTATATGTCAATACAAATGTCAAAAATATATCATTTTGCTAATGAGAAAAATATTTTCAATATGATGATAAATTTTTCTAGTTAAATAACGACTCATTGATGACATTTTCTATTAGATTGAGTTAAAAAATATGAGTAATTATATGATAACGACGAAGTATCTTAATATGCAATAAAATACTTTATCGTACTTTTGGATAACAATTAAGAAGAAAATTATTGATATAACTCGTTAGATTACCTTAAAAACGATATAAAACATTCATCATTCTGATAAAAAGATCTTTAACTAGGTTTTCTTATGCACTAAAAATTCTTTTATCTTCATATGTTGTTGACATGTTATATTAGAGAATTGTCTGTTATAATTGGACCATATAATAATCTTGAATACCAAGGACAATATATTGCTAATGCATGTAATTTATTTTTAATAATTAGTATTATATACTTATGTGTATAGTCTGTAAGGAAATTATTTAAGGAACATGGATAATTTATATCGATAAATTCTAAATAGTTACAGATGACTTATTTTTGTTATTTTTTACAAAAGTTGTTTTAGATCGTTCTTAGAATTGAAAAATTATTGCATTTTTGAACACATAGTCCAATTTTTGATTTATAAATAAAAGATCAGTTATGATTAGTATTATTATTTACTTAAATTTATACAAAAAAAAGGAAAACAATGCACACATTTATTTAGATTAAAATTGACAATAATAAAATAAACATAAGAAAACAATTTAGAAAATTTATTGAACATGTCGATGAAGTATGTTCTTGAATTATTGTAACTTGTCGTAAATAATTTAAATTAGCTAATGATGAATAGTTTTGTCGTGTTGCAATACGATGACGATAACGATTATTAGGTCGTAATGATGATGGACGTCGTTGAAAGTGTTTATACAATGATCGACTTGTAGTCGATTCAATTATTAATGATGATGGTGGTGTTGTTGTTGTTAATATTTGTATTGGCTGTTGTATATCTTGATTAATATTTGCAATACAATAAGCTTCATCATTTTTTTCAATTCGTTCTAGATTTATTTCACAATATCCATGTTCAATTGACATTTGAAAATAAACTGAACGAAAAACATCTTTGATTTGATTTGAATTATTTTGTTGACAATTTGATTGAAAATATTTATATAAACAACATAATGTTTCACGTATTTTAATACAACGAAATGATTTATCATCGCAATAATATGGATCACATAGTAAATGTTGTTGACATTGTTTAGGAATACGATAGATTTGTTCATTTGTTAATATATTTGAACAATAAGTTTCATTCGATGATAAATTTGTATCAATATCAATTAAATAATATGATTTTGATGAATGACCATTTATAATCGGAATTAATAAGAAAAAAATTAGTTTTTCTATAATCATTATTGAATATCTAAATATATAAAATGATACAAAACTTATCATTTAGGATGAATGAAAAATTTATATATGGTAAAGACACGCCTTGAAGGGCCGGCTTGTAATCATACATTACAGCTTGAACTCTCATTACTTTCTCATTCTACATTATATATATATATAAAGATAAATTGTTACAACATAAATGACAAGAAATGAACAGATGTTTGCAATGCATGCTTTCATCCAAAAAGGAAAACTCAATACTCTCTCTCTCACCTCAAAATATCAATATCAATGATACATTATTATGAATAAGAAGAAGAAGAAAAAAAACTGAACATGCGTTTGACTACCTAATTGTCCGCATCGAACATGACATTTAATGACGTTCGGACGCAAAGCGATCGTTGTCGATGAACTAATATATTTTTTGTCTCTAGTGAATAGAACTCACTTGCATGATTGCGAAATCGGCAACATCTTAATTATATTATGTATGTTAACATATAGTACATAGTTCGTTTCATCAATCCATTCAAGAGTACACTATTCTCATATACTGACTCAATTTCTTGTCAACAAGTTTCTATCATAAATATTTTTATAGTTTCTTTTTTCGTTGAAGTAAAGATCAATGTATAAACTAGCAAAGGCCATTAGTTTCGTGTTAAATATCAAATTGATGAACAATTTAGTTGTTAGACAAGTAAAGAAGAAAAAAAAAGCTAATGGATATATACAGTCTCAGACATATTTGATTATGTGTTTAATGAAGGAGAATAGTGACTTAATTAAAAATATAACAAAAAAAAAAGACTGGACTCATCTATTATATGATTGAATAGGAAATAAATATGATTCGACTTAGTCTCTTCAAATAAACATGCCATTCAATTGAGTAATCAGTAATTTAGCAACTACTTACATGTTTTGTAGTATATAAAACAAGACGAAAAAAAGAAGCAATAAGTTTTTAATGATGAATGAATTACTCTACCGTATGATCAAGCGGTTAATAATAATAGATTTGACCCTCACGTTCTCTTTTCGTTTTTTTCTTCTTTTTGTTTTGTTTGATAAATACTCTCAATACATTTTCAACACTCATTTGTCAAAAGAGCGGGGTAAAAGAAAATGACTAGACTCAACTAGTTCAATAATCATTTTAAAAATGAAAGAATGCCCGCCGGGTATATTCATATGTATAAATGTGTGCGAATATTGACGAAGGACGAGTATACAATAACAATGAGAGAAGACCTGTGTATGATATTATCACGATTTGTGCAGGCAAGCATGCATGGTGATTGTATTGTGAGTGCTCTTACAAAAAGACAGAAGACAGCAGTTACCTTTTCCTTTCTAACTACTTCATACACCGTCACTATTCTTTTCTTACTCCTCCTTCCATTCGTCTACCACTTCATTGAACAGTTGCTTTTTCCTATGATGTTCTGTTTTTTCTCTTCTAACTATGAAAATATAATCGATGATAACAGCGGGAGAAGATTGACAGTCATCACTGTGTCTGGCATTGAACTATACATACGTGCAAGATTCACACCCTTGAAGTACATTTATATATACATATACATATAATATAACGAATAAACATAGAGAGTGTGGCTAATAATTGATATCTGTCGGTTTTGTTGCGTTCTATGTGATGAACAGACGTGCGATGATCATTTATCACATTTTGTACATGCAAGCATCCGTATATTTGATAGATAGATAGATGTATCTCCCATCTCCTACTTGTGATCAACTTTATAATGAGGAGTTACATACCTCATTTTACGGTAGATGTACATGCCTACCCATTGACATGATAAAATATAATTTTCTTTTTTTTATGCAGTATAAAGAAGCGTCGAAATATACTAATTACACATAATTTCTGAGAGGTTGTCATACGTGATAAAAAGAAACAATCTAGTTTCGATCTGTGATCATTGAATTGAGAATGACAATATAGATTTTATTGAAGAAAAAGTTGATTTTCAACATTATATAAATGTTTTAACAATTAACAGTCGAAAGTATTCTTTCTATAAAAATAAGTTATAGTTTTTTCATCGATTCACCATGTCAAATTGATATTGAACGATATAAGCGTATTATATAAAAAATATCAAGAAAAATACTGTCTAACATTATTACATAGAATTTGTTGACTGACATATAAAACAAATTAATACAAGTTCATAACAATTGTACAAAATAATATGCCAAGAGAAAAACATATGTTAACGTACGGCTTGTAAATACCAAACATTTACGTAACATTATTACAAAATAGTATGATGAAGACTGAGAAGACCGAAAAGTTGCAACTGTATCACGCAATTTACAAGTAGATATATATATATATATGGTGACAAGAATTTTTTAATTGAGTAGTGTAAAAATAGATTGTCGATGATTCTTATTACATCATCATTTCAAATATATATTATGATTGACTTCTAAATATATTATGAACTATGAATATCATATAATCGTACTGTATGGAACGGTATTCGAATAAGGAATTTATTCCAAAAAAAAGTAGATGTCGTTTATTATATTGTTTATTGAAAATAATCCTATTATGCTAAGAGAATTGTTTACCAAATTTTCTCTTAGTTTATCCAATGATCTTCAAAACACTATGTAACTAAAGATAATTTAATAAATGTTATCAAGAAATTTATTATATGTAGATTATTCAACTTTAAATTATCGAAATATCAATAAATAAATAATTTTTTTTATTAAAAACTACATTAAGTTCGTGCGTGTAAAGCACAATTGATTCTGGTGTTTATTTTGAGAAAGAGAAAGAAAACAAACGGGGGATAGTAGTACTTTTTTTTCTCTCCCATATCCAAACATCAATATAAAAGAAAAAAAAAGATAAAGTTCGACAAATAATGATGGCACAAATGTCTTTATATATTTAACTCCTCTAATCATAATCTATAAAGGTACATGGAAAGAGATAGAAACATTCGAGAAAAAGAATCTTTTCTAGAAGAAAGAAGAAAAAAGACAGAAAAATGTGATATACTAAGAAGACTGTTGGCCGGTTTGCTATCGTTCATCGGATTAAAGTTCTTATCGTTCTGAAGCAAGTTTTTCAGCGCGAGCTGAAACATCTTCAATACCACCAACCATATAGAAAGCTCCTTCGGGTAAATGATCTAATTCACCTATAAATAAAATAAAATAAAATTATAAATTAAAAATATAAATATAAATAAGATAAATTTACGTACCGTTTAATACCATCTTAAATCCTTTGATTGTTTCTTTGAGTGGTACCAATTTACCTGGTGTTCCAGTAAATACTTCAGCGACCTTTAAAATAAAAAGAAAAAAGAAAATTAACATGTAAACAACTATGCTGACAAATGTCCATTATATAGGATCAGATATCTATTAGTGTTGATCTAGAAAACTATTATTGTTGCACTTTTTCCTATGTGTTCTACGTATTGAACAACATAAAACACTACACAAAAGTGCACTTTAACTTTTTTTTTCCCTAACATAGATTCGAACTTGAATTTAAACACTTTTATCAACTAACCTGAAACGGTTGCGAAAGAAAACGTTGGATTTTACGTGCACGTGCTACTGTTAATTTATCATCATCGGATAATTCATCCATACCCAAAATAGCAATAATATCTTGTAATGATTTATAATCCTAGAATAGAAATAAAAAATAAAATTAAGAATAATTTGTCGATAAAAGTTTGATTATATTTATTTAAATAAAAAATTTTAAAAAATCTAAAAGAAATTTTTATCGTTTTACTTTCGCACATCGACTACACTCATAGGACTATTGAAATAGACAATACAAGCTCTAGCGTGTGCCATAATATATCTATTAAAGTTTAGTTTTAAATATCTTACTTGAAGTGTTTTTTGAATGCTACGTGCAACTGAATAATGTTCTTCACCGACAATATTTGGATCAAGAATACGAGATGTTGAATCGAGTGGATCGACAGCTGGATAAATACCTAATTCAGCAATACCACGTGATAATACAGTTGTTGCATCCAAGTGAGCAAATGTTGTAGCTGGAGCTGGATCAGTCAAATCATCAGCAGGTACATAAATAGCCTATTAGAAATAGATTAGTTTTGAACATAAAAAGTTTCTTTCAATCATACTTGTACTGATGTAATTGAACCTTTTTTGGTTGTTGTAATACGTTCTTGCATAGTACCCATATCAGTGGCTAATGTTGGTTGATAACCGACAGCTGATGGAATACGACCCAATAAAGCTGATACTTCCGAACCAGCTTGTGTAAAACGAAAGATATTATCGATAAAAAGAAGTACATCTTTTCCTTCTTTATCTCGAAAATTTTCAGCAACAGTTAAACCAGTTAAAGCAACACGAGCACGTGCACCGGGTGGTTCATTCATTTGTCCGTAGACAAGTGATACTTTGGAACCGTTACCTTTGAGATCAATAACTTTTGTTGTTATCATTTCATGATATAAATCATTTCCTTCACGGGTACGTTCACCGACACCAGCAAAAACAGAGTAACCACCATGTGATGTAGCAACGTTGTAAATCAACTCCATGACCAAAACTGTTTTACCGACACCAGCACCACCAAATAAACCAATTTTACCACCTTTAGCATATGGAGCTAATAAATCGACAACTTTAATACCAGTTTCAAGAATTTGTTGTTCGACGTTCATGTCAGTAAATGGTGGTGCATCAGCATGAATGGGTGCATAATCGTCAGCATTAACTGGACCACGTTCATCAATTGGATCACCAATAACATTGATAATACGACCTAATGTTGCTGCACCAACAGGAATTTTAATTGGTGTACCGATATCAGTAACTGGTTGTCCACGTACAAGACCTTCTGTACCATCCATAGCAATTGTTCGAACGGTATTATCACCTGTAATAAAAGAAAAAGAATGAAACGGGAATATAAAGTTTGTGTTTTGTACCTAAATGTTGTGCAACTTCGAGAATTAATTTTGGTTGACGACCATCAACTTGAAGTGCATTAAGAATAGGTGGTAATTGTTCATCGAATTGTACATCGACAACAGCACCAATGACCGATACAACACGACCTTTAGCACCTTTAGCAGCTTGAACTGGTTGTTTGTCTTGTTGACCAGTTTGTGTTTGTTTTGTAGCTGTTTGTTTTTGTTGTGCTGATTGGGCTGCGGCATTTCGTTTACCAACAACTATTAATAAAGAAATAATATAGATTTTAAAAGAAAACTATTTAACCAAAGAAAGCATACTATGAAAATTAGCGGCTGGTTGATAAGCTAATTTTGACCATTTTGAAGTATTAACGGTATGACGTTGTTTACCAAGTACAGTTTGTGCAACACTACCTGCTCGTCGACAGGCGCATCGGATGCCTTGCATAATTGTGCAATTAGGTGGTCTGAAAATAAGAATAAAAATAAAGATTGGTTAAAAAAACAAACAGAAAAGACGGTGCAAAATCGGTGTAAATCATCCTTTTCTAAGACCACAAAAAAATTTGTCTGCACCGTAAACATATGTTGTCCTTTGGTGAGGTTTTATGTAATGATCAATGGCGATTTTTTTAAAATTATCATCACAAATATAGAAATATATTTTCTTAAATATGAATATAATTATTGGGAATAATACATAAAAAATAGATATTATATTGTATATTATAACACACTTATGCATTTGCGATAAAGGACATCACTTAGCAACCGATACGAGAATGATCAGAAGTTTGATCGTAATATATTTTGTACTGTGATGAAATAAGACATTGTGCTGGGAAGATGTTTACATTATCACCAGTCGATGCACTGGATTATGCAGCAGTCTTCGAAGATGCAGCTGAAGAATTGCATATTCTCGGTAAATTGATGCCTTCACATTATCAATATACAGGATCATCGGATGAAGTTAGTTATTTTAATATTAAAGGCTATATTTTTTTTTCAAAACATATGATTTATTATTATGATAGATTGTTCGAAAACAAATTGGGCGTGTAGTAAGTGCTCAACATAGAACTGAAGATGATTATGATGCACAAATATCACAACGAAGTCAATTACAAAAAAATAAAAAAGATGATGAACCTGTACAGCCAGATGCAGCAGAAAGTCAGAAACTAATGGAAGAATTAACTGCTGAATTAAAAAAGACAACAAATGATTTAAAAACAGGTGTTAACAAAATTAATCGAATGTTTAATCAAAATCCATTAACAGCAGATAATATGAAAAAAGTTGAAAAAGATCGGTAAAGATAACAGAATCTTGAAAAATAATCAAAAGAAAAAATATATATTTCTATTTATATTTTTTTAGTAATTATTTCGAAAAATTATTAACAAAATCAATTCTTGCGCTGAATGATCAAAAATCTATTGAACCACTCAAAGTGATGGTAGAAGAAGAACAACAACTAAAAAATCATTTTTTTCATGTCGTTCGAACGTATGTATAAGATATATTACAAGCTTTTTTTTTAAAGCTAAGATAAAAACTATGATTAATCTTTCTTTTTGATGTTCAATACATTATTAGTTATAATGTATAATTAAGTAGAAATAAATTTCAATCTTTCAAGGTTTGTAATTGATATTGGTTGAGACGTTGTGGGCGTTTCTCTTTAGATCCTTATGTATTTTCCTTAGATAGATTTCTTTGAAAAAAAGAACAAAAACACTCAGTTCAGCATACATCGGATAGATATAAAAATAAGATTTAATGATCAAATGTCACGACTCATTCTAATGTCTTGAATGCTATATTTTTTGTCTACCGACAAGGACAATTAATCGAAAAGGAAGGAAGCATTAAGTTCAATTGCATGAACTATAATCAAGAGCTACATTGTGAAAGAAATCTAAAGTATTAATTAGTGAATTCATAAGTTTTTACATTGTTGTTTCCATGTCAAAATATGTTCTTCGGTCGATATTTTCATTAGGATTTTTATATAAATTATTTTAGATATTTATAAAATAATAATAAGGTATTCATGTGGAAATATGCTGTTGGTTTTGCTCTAGTTTAATTTTCTTTTGCGTCGTTCTTTTTTTTTTAATCAAAGTAAATATATTTGATTATTTAGTGAAGAAGAAAGCCGTCAACGTATTAAAGAATTAACACAAAGTATTCAAAATGTCCGTCAAGAAAAAATCACTGAATTAGCACGACGTGCTGAAGTCATAGCTTATCAAAAAGATCAATTGCAAGAAGCAAAAGCTAAAGCACAACTTGAAATAACCTATGAAAAGAAAAAATGTGAAAATCATCTTGAACAAATTCGTGCACGTTGTTCTATTGCTGAACAAGATATGCGTCGTGAACAAGATGTAAATATAGAATAAATGAATGATAATTACTAAAGTTTCTTCCTTTTTCCAGTCATTAGAAAATCGTTCTGAAGATGAAATGAAATCAAATTCGGAAACAGAAAATTACTTGCGTGTTTATATCAAGGTATTCGATTTTTTTTTGTAGTATTACATAAAATATTAACTGTAATTTTTTTCAAAAGGACACTACTCAAAAAACTGAAGATTGGCTTGAAAAATATAATCAAGAAACCGCTGCCTTACAAACTCAATTAGATAAACTAAAATCAGCACGTGCATCAGATTTAGCAGCATATCAAAAAATTGCTGCTGATGTAAGAGAAATAACTAGATAGTTAATTAAAATCTATTGTTTTTGCTTTAGTTTACACTTTATGAAAAAGTTGTTCGTGAAGATCGAGCAGAAAAAGAACGTCGTCGTCGACAATTAGAACGTGAACAACAACAAATGTTTGCTGCAGTTAAAATTCAATCATGGTGGAGAGGAATGCTTGTTAGAAATGCAATTGGGCCATACAAAAAGAAGAAAGGAAAAAAAGGAAAAAAGAAGAAATAAAAAAAAGATGTTATTATCCACACTTTTCTTTTTCTTGTTTTTCATTTCATATTTTCTTATTCTATTTTGAAAAAGTAAATAAAATTTCATTTGTGTGATAACGTATTCATTTAATATTTACTAATTTACATTGCCATTAGTTAAATAGACGCTTAAAAATAGTAGTTTTAATAATATTTACATATGAATAGAATAAATCGAAGACAATTAATCGTGAGTATACATATACATATATATAGTAATATATTAAGTATGAAATATAATTACTATTCCCATAGATTATTTGTATGCATGTGTACGATGCTTGTCAATTACGACTTATTTTTTTAGTTATGTTTTTAAAATAGAAGCAATATTTCCTGTGATGAATATAAGTCTGGAAGAGTAGATGGAATCCTTTTTAATCATATAGATACCATGGGGTGTATGTCAAATAATCATATCTTTTCTTTTCAATGGCTTTTCTTGCTAGTTGAATGCCATAAAACTGTCAGTTGTATATATATAGAACAGAGTAGAAGACAGAACAAAGAAGGAAAGAAAAAGAACAAGTCCTTCGATAATTAAACTGTAAGTAACAACAGAAAAAATAGACAACGGTAAGTACTTTCTATCCCTCATGATTTCAAGAAAATTATTACTTTTTTTATCGAGGTCAGCACAACATTATCTTCTAGCTTTATCTAAAATCTCTGATATAAAAGTATAACAACAAGAACATATGACAATCTCTGACATATAGAAATTTGATATAGCAAAAAAAAAATTTCTTTTAGATCACGTATTATTTATTGTCGTTTTTTGAAGAACTAAGTATATAGTAATCATATGACAAACGCGTATGGTGTTCATAACATGTCAGATAAGAAGAAAAGAGTAGGCTTGTTTTAATATTGAATTGTTCTGACATATTTTTCTATTCTTTTCAGTTATTTCTCATAAACTAAAACCTGTTCTATTTCTTATTTTTAATCTTTATCATAATTAACTATTTATATCTTCGAAGAAAAAAAAATTCTAAATAGAAAATAACCTAGATAAAACCTGTCTGGCTTTATAATAGCTAAATTTTTAATTTCTTTTTATTTGACGTCGCTAGAATTAAGATAATACTTTATTAGTCTAGGTGTGAGAACGTCTTTTTTTCTTTTCAAATCATTATATATTGTAACTATCACGTATATAGTTGTCTTTTATTTATTATTCTTTACATAAATATATAGTATTCAAATCATTGTAAGAGATTTATAACTGTTGAATAGACGGTAAGATAAAAATATTAACGTACAATGCGACAGTATCTATAAATGTAGCTAAATAAGAATATGCTATAGTTTTGTTTGCGTCAATCAACAGCTGTTTGCTAATTTATAATTATCTATTAGAAACAAATCTGTTATTTGTTCTAAAAGTTAACTGAACTTTGATCTTATTTTTATTTAGATATCGATTATTAAATAATTGAGAATGAGTATTTTTGAAAAAATACTGGAATCGTGTCCAGTTATTGAACCACAGCTGAATGAACTTTGTAATAGTAATAGTTCGGGACCTAATGCTGAATCGTGTAAAAATATTAAAGTTTACGTATTTCTTTCAAATGCCGATTGTTACATAAGTAAAGTATTTTATCCGTTAACTGTACTATTTATTATAATTGGTACAGTACTTAATTTATATTCTTTATATTGTTTTACTAAAATAAATAAACGCAATTCTCAAAATATTTATTTATCTATATTATCACTCGTTGATACAATTAATTTACATATTAATTTTGCTTTACCTATGTTACGAAAAATAGATCCAATTGATGAAGGATTTCGTCGTTTAAATCTGGTATGTCGTTTAACTGGTGTATTTACAGAATTTTTTCTAATTTTTCCAACATGGATTGTTGTTTTATTAACATTTGAACGTTTAATATTCATTGTACGACCATCAAAACGTCGTTCATCCTATACACAACTAAGAGCAAAAATATCGATACTTTTCTTAGCAATCGTTGTTCTATCGTTATGTTTATATCGTTTAAAGGATTTGAAAGGTATTGATCAACTTAGTGTTTTTTCTATTCTTGCATGTGATACAGACGATGAATCATCTGAAAAAAATGGAAAACGACAATTATATGATAAATTAAGATATATGAATTTAATAATTTGGACAATATTACCAGAATTTTTAACATTGATAATGAGTTTAATTATAATTTATCGAATAAAATTAGTTGCTAGAAGAATGCAATCAGATCATTCACGAGCTTGTCAAACAAAATATAATCAAGCAACAAGAATAGTTTTATTGATATCAATACTGTTTCTTATTTTTCAAACTCCAACAGGTATATATTTTGAAATTGTTGTATTAGAATATTATTTCTAATTAATTTTTATTCATAGGTATTATGATTACACTTGATTTTATTTATGGAAAAAATAAAAGAACAACGGGTATTATAATGATTCTTGTTTCAAATAAATTAACTATGATTCTTTATGAAATCAATTTATCATGTAAATTTTTTATTTATAAACAAACATTCCGAAATTTTAAGTAAGTTATTTATTAAGTTTGATATAGATTCATCAGTCTTGAATTTATTACTTATTTAATACGAGTATTTTGTTACGATAATTACTTTTCTTTCTTTTTTTTTCTCATTCATAATTGATAACTTAAAATGAAAAAAATAATCAGCCTTTCTTTTATTCCTAGGGGCATATTATGTACGTCATTTTTTCAATTTACTCGTCGACCAAATTCAGCTAAACTAGGTCGACCTGTTCTGGAGAATGTACATCATTGTTCAAATCATCAAAAAGTTCATTTTAGTTCGTATAAACAATCAATAACTTCTCGAGCTAGTCAAAGTGATTCGTATTCGAAAAGTGCTGAAGAATATCATTATATTTTAAATAATCGTCATCCTCGAACAAATTCAACAAACATATCGAAATTAAATCGAGAACAAAAACCATTAAATGTTGTTATGACTAAAGCAAATGCTGAAGCACATATATCATTATCACGGAGAGCTGATTTATCCGGACGATATGAAAGAAAATAGATTTAATCATTTCTAAAACTTAACAAATTTGATTTTTTTGTTGTTTTCATCTTTAAAAGAAATAAATATTTGAATGTTATATATATTTTTTTTTGCTAAGATTTAAAAGATTAGTTTATTTATGGCTTTAATTCTTGATAATGATAAAAATTTCTCATGTACTTCGTTGCTAAAATAAATAACCTTGAGTGAATATGCATAATCTTCAATTGAAATTGTCCTTCGATTTGAACAGGTTTTACTTTATTCTGTCTCTCTCTCTCTCACTCAATCTTTCGGTGTTTTTATTATTTATGAATTGCAAATAGTAGCAGTCACTACAATGTAAGTCATTTTAATTTTGTAAGGAATTTATACGTTATCGATTAAAATTTATAATATATATATATATATATGTACTAGTACTATTGATTTAGTGTTATTGTATGTTCAAAGATACGTTTGTTCATCAGATTGAGTAGCATTATACATCATATCTTTTGCATTTTGTAGATCTTTTTTATATATTTTCGTTGTTACATGTTTTCTAGCACTTAATGCACGTTGTAATATAATATCATCATTTTGTGGACGTTTTATAAGTGTTGAAAATTTTTCTTGTTTTAAATTACGATTTTGTTCTATGTCTTTTATGGACTGAAGAATATATTCATAGATTGAATTGTATTGTTGAGGATATTTTCGTGGTGATGAAGGAGTTGGTGAACGATGTGATCGTTGTGGTGAACGTGGACTATGTGCTGATAAAGATCGTGAAGTTGATGAACCTGAACGAGACCTGCTATGCATTGGTGTTGATTTTTTTGTTTTTGGTTCTTCCATGTGACTATATCGATATACAAGATCAGGTGCTGGTGCTATTTCTTCTACTCTATTAGGTCGTCGATGCCATGTATAAGATGATGATGATAATAATGAATCATGTATATTCGAATTTCTCACATCGAAATCAGCCATTCGAGATGTTGTTGGTCGTTTTTCTTCTTGATAAAAATTAGTTTTACGTGGAGATTTATCAAGACATCGTTGATGTTTATTTGAACTATCGTTTGAAAATGTCAATGTTAGAATAGTCGGTGAAAATGTATATTGTTCACGAAAATCTGATAGTAAATCGGTATCAGTAGTAACCATAGCTTTTTCTATTTACTTTATTCGTTGTATTCGAGTGAGAGAATAAAGAAACAAATGTATGGTTGCACTTCTTTTTTTGTTGTCAGACACTTGAATGACAAGTGTTCTGTACAATAGTCTTAATTATAGAACTATCTTAATTCTGTATCTAAAAATTTTTTCAATTTTTAACAATGTTATTTCTTCAATTCTATTCTATACAAATACACTTTCTCTTTATAAACATTGATTTATTGAGATGCAGTATGAAAATTTCTTTCGTGTTCTTCAATTTTTTCTTTTTTTATTCATCAAGCTTTTAACTACGGTGTTACAATTTCAGTTATATTTTTAAAAGTCTAGAACTTTTATCTAAAATTTGAGTAACAGTAATTCCACTCGTCACTTTTTCTCGACACATTATGTTCAAGTGGAAAGATTACTTTTCATGGTCGTCTATCTTCAAGAGTAAAGAAATGTCATTGAACTTATATAAATTAATATTCCGTTTTATTTGAAGAATAAATTTTAAATTTCTCAGAAAGAAAAATTGAGTCAATAATCAACAGTGTCATGAGTTCCTGTTTTTTCTTCTTGATGTTCTTTAACTATCATCATCATTGTCATGATGATAATCATCGTTTTTATATTCTTCTCTTCTGACCTTAAGTCAATAGTATACACTTAGACAACTGCAAGGTGAAAAAGGGAAGAGTAACAAAAGAAAGAGAAGAACAGAAAAGAATTCACTGTTGTTGCTATACATCTGATCTCAATACAATCTCTAACTTTATTCCGTTACGTTTTTTTTTTTCATTTCTAGAAAAAAAAGAACGACGTAAAAAAGCAATCATCATTGGTCGTCACCGTTAAAACTGTAGCAAAAAAAAACATCAAAACATAAATTTATTCATTTTCATCTATTGTGTTATGTCACTTTAATGTCGTTTTAAATAACATTGTATTTTTCTTTTCTATTCTTTTAAATTTAGAATTGTGTTAAGGTGTAAGATCATTTTATTCAGTTTCGTTTATTCTAATCATAAATCTTCTCTGTTCAAATAAATAGTTTACATATATGCCAACTTCAAGTCAATCACAAATTCTTTCTGTTGTTGATTCTCAATTACTTCATCAACAACAACAACAACCACAACAACAGCAGAAGGCTACTGGCCATTCTCGAACAACAAAATCACCTGTTCGTATTTCTGTTAATCAAAATCCAGGAAATGAATCGAAACGACGTTATTCAAAAGACGATCATTCTCCACCACCTCCTAATATAATAAATAGACGACGAAGTTCAGATAAACCTACTGATGGTATGTTTAATATAGATTCTATTTTTTAATTTTTAACTCACGAAATAAAAAAAAAACTTCTAATTTTTTTCCAGCAAAATTAAGAAATACTCGCAAAGCCCAGAGGCATTGCAGATGTATGCAACATGATCATAATTATCCTTCTGTTCGTAGGACTAGGGGTATGGATAGTATAATTGCTCGCTAAGCTTACAGTTCTTCTTGTCGTCAATAAAATTCTATTATTAAAATAAAAGTATATTTATATGTATATCATCTATTTCCTATATAGTTTTACAATCAGGACGAACAACTCAACGTAATGATATACTTCATATGCCTGTAATATATCTTAATAATGCGAATAGAAATGAACCACGAATAAATCGAACAATTAATACATATGGACAAACAAAATCTACATTTAATGAACCATCAATGGAATCATATCGATATCGTGGATATTCATTAAATTCTGAAAATGATGAACAACTTGATTATTTACAACGATTAAATCAAAAAAAATTATATCCATTACCAAGAGAAAATGTCTCATCAACATCTGATTTAGATAATATTAATGATGATGAATATTATGATGATGGAAATCGTGAACGTCGAGGAAGTTTATTAGATGATAATGCTCGTCGATTACTTGTTTTGGGTACAATACGTCCGTCAAAAACATTTTATAAAAATTTACCAGATGCTGATGCTGATCATCTTATGGAATATTTTCGTCGAATGAAAAATACACAACATCGAGCAACATCTGAAGAAATCAATGAAGAATTAGCTACTAAAATTGTTGAATATAAACCAAAAATGTGTAAGTTTAATAAATATTTTCTATTCTCTTTAATAAAATATATTTTAGTTTTTGATTCAACTTGTGTAACAAAACATCAAGTAACAAATCTTGAAAAAATCATAGAACAATATGTTGATGAAATTCGTGATCAAAAAGCTGAATTTGATAAACTTGAAAATCCAATGCGTTTTATTATAAAACAAGTTGATAATAATAAACCATTAGCAACAATACCACGTGAATATAATGATTGTTTTATAACACTTGCTACACGATCAGATCCATTACGTAAATCAGATTTAATTAGTGATCTTGTTCAAGATGAATTTTTAGAAACTATTAAAGCAAATTCATTAGATATCAGGTAATATAAATTCATAGAGCGCGTAAAATTCTAAAAATAAATATTTTTCAGTTATTTTCCCGGTGGTGTAAATTATGATGTACCACATGATGATATTGATGAAAATGGTCAAATGAAACTTGAAACATATCAAAAATTAAAAAAACGTTTAAATAATCGCAAAGTCTGGTATTTTAGTGATCCACCAGAAAAACGACCAAATGCTTTATTAGCTATTATTCCATGTGATCTATCAATTAATATTGATCATCAGATATTATATGATACACTTTGTGATACATTAAAAACATTTTCATCAAATAATAATTCAAATGTTGAAGAACAAATACTATCTATAGAATTTGTTCCATTAAGTTGTATATTAAATTCACTTGATCAATCAAATCAATTTATTATTGAGTGTGATACAATAGAAACAAAACGACAATTAATGGAAAAACCATTAAGAATTATTTTAAATAAACATTCAATAATTATTGAATTACATTCTTATGATGAAGATATTCATCGAGAATATGAGAAATTTATAAAAGCAGAAAAATATCGAGAATTAATTAAAAATCATGATGCAGCAGTTAAACGAACATCAACAAAATAATAGAGAAAAAAAACATGACATATGTTGTTCTTTTTATTTGTTTGAAATAATAAATATGGTCGTGATATACAGATGAAAAAATAATTTTTTTTAATATTCGAGCAAATAAATGTATCTTCTTTTATTGTGTTTTTGTATTGTTTTTATTGTTTTTAGTAATTATAGTATATTACAGAAGTAAAGAGACACACAAACAAATATAATTAATATCAACAACAAAGAAATGAAATATTTGTTTTAAAGATTGAAAGAATTCAATGAATCTGGTGATTCTTCATCGATTTTTTTATTGTTTTAGATATTGAATAAAAAAATATTTGCATGAACAAATGAAATTAAATGAAACATTAAAATGATCGTTAAGTTAATGGCTGAAGTACTCTGAAAATAAGAAGAATTCTTTTCTATATATCTTTCTTTTTTGTGTAGTTTCTTGTTATTGATCTGATTTCGTTGTCTTCAATAAAAGACGGATATTATCTCTCCTCGAGCTTTCGATTGATATATAAATTCCTTTTGGTATGTGATATGATTCATTAAATGTATCATTTTCAAGAGTTTCACAAGATACAAAGGAATTCTATGGAATGTGAGTTCACACTACTTATATAGTGTATGATCATATCGAGATTTGTCAAGGGACACCATCGGAGTGACGAATTTGTATATGAACTTCTGTCTAATTGTTGAATGATTCAAAAGATGAATAATAAAGATATCTTAATATAAATTCCTTTTTTGCTATTAGTATTTTATCACTAGTTTTGAGATTAAAGAATATGTGAACGTGCAAATATTTACTTGACCATGAAAGGGAAGAATGTAAATCTGAATTACGTCATATACTTTTTTTTGATATGGTGCGATGGTGTTCTAGAAGGAATGTTATAAGATGCATTCCAAATAACAAAAGATCGAACTTTATTAATAACTTGATTGTAAAAGGGTTTTGTGAAGTGACCCTTGTGAATGACTTTTAGTGTGCGAAAAGATCTATTGGTTGAATTTTTTTTCGATGTAATTCATTCTTAATTGATTAAGTTAATAAAGATTTGAACTCATTTTGCGTCATAGAATTTTTAGTATACGTGAAAGTATGTCTTGGAATCATCCCTTAATTTGAATGATAAGAAGATATTTCAGAATTTTTTGTACGTGCGCTTAGAACTTACAAGCCGTTTAGAATAGTATAAATAGAGTCGTTTTTTTATTGTAAATCACAGTCTTCAAGCAATACAATTACACAATGAGCAAGTCGACAACAACGACAACTTCAACAGCTTCAATACTCATCCCTCCGGATGAGTGTTTTCAACTGGTGAAAAATACAGCTAGTGATACAACAGCTACCAAAAACAAAAATAAAGTGGTCTTAACACCCACTATGCGCAAGGTTTGTCTTTATATTACATTAATTAATCATATTCTTTTTTATTATTATTCATTCTAGGTGGTGGCTCAGCGAAAATTGATTCAAAAACAATATCAATTAGCAACAACATCATCGTCAACAACAGCAGCTTCAGCGACAGAAGCTTTTAATAGTAGTGGTGGACGTCAAAAGAAAAATGAAAAGAACAAAAAACCAAAACGCAACGGTTTTGGTCAAGCAGCAACAAATCCAGTTGCTGAAATACCAACAAGTAACAGACAGTGTACCATGTCTGTCGTATGTATCTCGGCGATGCGGTCTGGAGTGTCTGTGCCACTACCTTCAATCGGTGTGATATCAGTAACTCCAAGTGTGTCTATACCGAGAATACCACGGCTATCTGGAAGATCAACAACACCCAACCCACGAAGTCCTGCTCAATCAGGCAAACGGAAACATTCAACATCACCGACATACATCAAGGAACCCACCCATTTCACACGGACATGGGTGAATAATCGAGAAACGTTCTCGATACAAGTCGAGAACATTTTAAATGCCGCCTCATTTTCTCCCACACGTGCTGTGGAAGAGTGTGAGCGGCGTTCCGAACTTACATCCCACCTCCTTCGGTGGCGTTTGGAACAAGCCGCTAAAGCTGCTATTGCCGATTTAAGAAAAATTCTAAAATAAAATCTTCTTTTCTTTAGCATATTTTATATTGAACACAGGAACATATTAAACTTTGTAGTGATACCTAAATGAATGTTTTGAATTGAAAAGTTTCTTTTAAATCAAGTTTGTTGACATATACATAGAAGGTTCTTTCATGGATATAAAATTGTTTTTCAAGTTGTTTTCATTGAAAAATTCTTACAAATGTCTAAAAATTACATAACTTTCTTTTTTAACCACACTTATAATAGATTTGTCTTTTCTATTGTCAATTGCTCGTAAAATATGACTCAAGGAATTATTTGTCATATATGCATTAGGTCAATTATAATAATTTGAAACTTTCCTTAACTTTCTAGAATCTAAAAGAATCAAGGAAGAGTTTGGATTGGTCTGGGTCTAGGCTTAGGTCTGCGTATGAATGAGGATGGGTGCAGGTGTGCTTGGGTGGGTGAATGTGGGTTCTATTAAAAGCGAGACATTCATGCTCACACACGCATTAAGAAGAATACATTTTGTTCTCAATAGGGGTGGTGGCTTAGCATTAATGTAAAAATAATGCACAGGTTTATTTTCGTAAAGGAAACATTTAATATCGATTTATGTACTAAATTGGCATTAGTACCACTAATGCTACTATTAATTCCAAAAAATCAGCATTAATTAGCTTTCGCTGAGAAATAAATCAATGCATTATTTTCAGTTCTAATGCTAAGCCACCACCTCTAGTTCTCAACAATGTTTAATTGCACAGCGCTTAAATCCATTACTTCTTTTTTTCTTTCTTTGCAATAACATTTCTTGTATGTTGTGGACGCTGAATGTATTCTTCTGAATGTTTGCACATTCTCTTACAATAAAATGCGTCGTTGAGAAAAAAGAAAGATGTGGCGAATGTTGTGAGTATATAAAAAACAAAACGAATTATTCCGCGAAGAGAATATTCAATCGCACATACACAGTACCGTTCGAAACTTACAAACTATCAGAATGTTCTCAAATCATTCAAATCTTGAGGGTGTGCGTGTGGGTGGGTATGAGTTAACAGATAACACCCACACCCACACCCACACCCTAGTTTTACCTTTCATCCACCCACTACCCCATGGTCAGCCAATAGACCTCAGATTCGAACTCCCCGCATCGGAAAACCTCGGGAAAAGTCTTTTTCAAAAAATTGATTTCCGATGGTTTTTTTACCCTGCGGACACACAAGCAAGCAAGCAAACAAACAATTTATGTTTACTGTACTCTTCTCTACGAGAAAGAGAACTAGTAGGTTCAACAATTCTATAAAATATTTGTGAATGGAAGTATTGTAGATTGCTTGGCGAAGACTCTTTTGAATGCAAAAGCTACCAAAAGTTCAAGTTTGAGAGGAAGTGGTAAAGAATGTAACCTAGGTGGCTGATGCCAATTCTTAGTTATTAATTCTGCTTTAAAATGAAGAAAATATCATCTACAATGAGGAGACAACTAGCGCTCTCCATTCATCGAATGCGAGATTTACAGTCTTCCTTTTGGAAATCATAAAACGTCGAAGGTTTGTTTTGAACAAAGTCTCTTTATGGTCATTTTTGTCAACGATATATCTGACAGCGATGCTGGAAATGAAAAGAATAAATTCAGTCGACAGTCAAGCGACTTGCGCTCGACGAGCGTTACTTGTATACAGTGAAATGTGATCAGTTAGAAATAAATAGATATTGATTTCCTGCCATCGTGTGTGGCCTATATTATTCTCATTCTGCTCCGTATGATGTCATATTTCTCTATAGACACAAGCAACAAGGTATACGATCACAATATTGGTTTAAGTAATTTATCAAAATAAAGATGATTCATAGTTGAAACGAAAAATCTGGATGCATCTACTTAATGTATTCTGCTTTGTTGTACTAATTATCCACTACGATTTACATGTTCTTCTGCTCTAGTCTCGATCACTACACATATGATATATGAGATTTTCATTCAAAAACCCATTCTTTTCTATATATTTCTAGCATCAGTTCGACGAGCTTCACTTGATCTATTCGATTTCCAGAACAAACACGTTTAAAAGACAATTCGAGAATGAAAATATTGACATGGGTAATATGATAATATGTGAACTTTGGAAGTGAGTAGATGATATTATTCATGTCATCCAGCCATTCCTAATAAAATGAAACATCACATTTCAAAGCATACATTCAGAGGAGAGCACTGAAAACAAATAAGAACATCATATTAGTGACCAGATCGATTTTGATTCCTACTTTATAGATAGTGTATACGTTGACAAACTTGGATCGTCCTTCAATATAAGGACTATAACAATGTACTATTGAAGATCTTGTAAGTTCATCATTGTATATACTATCTCCAAAGAATCAACAATAGATCCATCTTCCTTTTACTATGTCATTGATCGAGTCCAACCAACACCGTCGGAGATGTTCGTTAGCATTGATCACTATTTATATTATCTTCTCTCTTTCTGTTCTTGCAAAATACGAACTCTATTGTTCTTCTTCTTTCCTCTAATTTTTCAATACAATTCTCTCCTATCAATATTCTTCAATCTCTTTTTCCTTTTCTTCTGCAACATGAAGTGTTATTTTCAATGAATCCATGATTCAGTCAAACATAACTTGACTATATATATTATATCTAAAAAGTCATATGAAAATCAAAGTTCGACAAAACAATTTTCTGGTTTTTGTCTCTAATAAGATGCTATTTTGACATCATTGGCGATTTAAATAAAAAGCCAACATCAGAAGCCCTTCGCTCTTTATCGTATACCACTATGTTCTCTGTCTTCAACTAGCCAGACAACATAGATTTTGGTACTTAGTAATAAAAACAAATGTATACTCTCATTTCTCCACGATTTAACCAATCATATTTTCCTTTCATTTCAATGATATTTTTATTTAGATTTAACTAAAATCCAAAATTTATCTGACAAATAATTCGAACGTCGATTCTTTCTAATTGATTGAATTGTCTCTTCACACAATGTTCATCATATCCAGGTAAAACCTTTGGAATTCTTGACATCCCTCACCCTATAAGCTCCTCTCGACACGCACACAAATATGATATATCAGGAGGCAGAACTTGTTTTATTCAGACACGATTTTGTGTAGCAAAAACTGCGTCCTATATCTGTTAGATGACCGTAAGGTTATGCAAGTCAATCATCCAATGTAGCAGACTAGGACAAAAGAGAGATAAAAAGAAGCAGAGAATAGTCAGAGAAGTCATCCATTGATTTCTGTATTCAGTCTTTTTTTCTCTGTCTAGTTGTGTATGGCCGTTCTGGATGGTATTTTCCTGTTGGTATGCTATGACTCTAACTGAAGGCATAAGATGGATTCCAGTCGGTTCATCAAGTGCAAAAGCTGGTTTACCATCAGAAAATAAAGGTATCGTGAATTCCTTCTTTTGAGTTAATTGAATTCTTCGACAAGAGACGCATGATATCTTCATCCAGTTTTAAAAATAAATCTCTTCAACTTTTTTCCGTAATGTAAGGTAGTGATGATCATCTTATATCGATTTTAGTTTCACATTGTATGGATGGTATCAAAAATCGCGATGAAACAGATATTGATTGTGGTGGCATTAAATGTCCAAAATGTGAAGATACACAGACTTGCAAAGGTGATTGTGATTGTATCAGCGAAATTTGCAAAAACAACGTGTGTATTCGTAAGTATCGAACGTTTGGAAAATTCAAACATTGAAAACTGTTCCGTTTCAGCGGCTGAATCATGTAAAGACGATATCAAAAATCAAGATGAGACGGATAGTGATTGTGGTGGGAACAAATGTCCAAAATGTGAAGATGAAAAGATTTGTCACGAGGATTGTGATTGTCTTAGTCGCGAGTGCAAAAATAATACCTGTGTTCGTAAGTATCGAACTTTTACTTTTACGTTATATGTGGACAGTGAAGAGAAGAGTAACGAATACATTGTTGATAAAGCAAGTCTATGGTTAGCTGAGACAAAGATTTGTAACGATTGATCGCAATGTAGTATATTAGGAAAAATCCAAGAGAAAAATATTGTAATACTAACATCTCGTATTTTGAAAGAGAATAGTTGCAATTTTATTTGTTTTCAATTTTTAACTAAGATTATGGAGAGGTTGCAATCAACTATTGAGTGTAGTTGTCATGAAACTGTAGGAACAGTTTAGATTGTAATTAGTATAAAGAGTATCGGTATAAGTATGGTTAATGCTTCAAGAGAATTGGAATGCGTAGAGTTGGAACTGAATTGAATACTTTAGTCACAGTTGAAACTAATGCTGCTTTTATCTTTCCACGTATCACAGGTTTACCATTAGTAGACTCAACTGCAATCTCAATAACCTCGAATACTGTCTCTTCAATCTCGAATACAATCTCGACAACCTCATATATGACCTCATCAACATCTAATGTCATATTACCGATCTCGAATACGATCTCGTCAATCTTCATTCCCACTTCTTCAATCTCGAATATGGAGAGACTGCCAGGATTTATTTTTCTGGGAGTTATTGGAGTTTTTCGAAATACCGGATTTTTTTCCATGCTATACATATCATGACAAGCTCATATCTTTTATTGAATTAAATGAAATTTATCTTAAGAGGAAGGTGCACCTTCCTCGTTAATTTTACTTTTTCCAACCATTATTTTTATTATTCAATGTATACATATATTTTTGTTTTTCTCTTCCCGTTTTTCTTCCTTTGTCCTCTTACTTCTGCTCGTTTCCCTAATTCTCTTTCTCTTCTTCCTTCTTTTTCTCCTCTTTTTCCTTCTTCTTCTCTTCTTTCTCCTTCTCCTTTTCTTTCTTCTTCTCTTCTTTCTCCTTCTTCTTCTCCTCCTTTTTCTCGTCTTTCTCCTTCTTCTCTTCTTCTTTCTCCTTCTTTTTCTCCTCCTTTTTCTCTTCTTTCTCCTTCTTTTCCTCTTCTTTCTCCTTCTTCTTCTCCTCCTTTTTCTCTTCTTTCTCCT